CTATCTAACCTGACTGATCTGGTGTGGGCATGAACAGAGTTCAACTATACACAGTTGCCTAACCCAGCAGGCTCAATATGTTACCGATTATACATGTCCCCCTTCTCCCCAATCACACCCTGCTTTCAGCACCATTCTCACATTTCCATGCAGCCTCACTCACTGGATACCATTGGTGCCAGGCATGGCAGGCACTGTGGGGGGGAAATTAAAATAAGTGAGGTATAGTCCTTACCTCCTGCAACTGTGGAGAGTCTGGGAGCATGAACCATATAGGTACAAAGAGTGCAGGGTAAAAACTAGGAAGTAGAGAAAAGCAATACAAGCAAAGGGAAAGGAGACACAGGAGGACTCTGATTCCCACCTGAGAGAGGGAAGCCCAGCTGAGGCCAGGTCAACTGCTAATGAGCCCAGATGCTCTACGGACACTGCATGGAGCAAGGCAACACCGGGAGGGGTCCCAGGACAGGAAGGTGCCTTCTGCAGCCAGTCCTCGGCCAGGCAGGCCCAAACACGTAGCTGTCCTCAGGTGGAGACAGACTGTCATTTCTGATTCTCCACACACAGCCCTGATCCTGTTGATCACCTTAGCATCACTCATTCGTGCTTCTCTCCTCCATGGCCACAGCTACCCTCTCAGTCCCGGCGAGCACCACGTCTTTCCTGGTACTGGTGCGTTTCATAGCCAATCCCTGCTTCTTCTCTGGCTCTCCTGAACTCCACCCAGGCACACTGTCCATCCTGTGACTCCCTGGCCCCTGCTCCAGGGGCTCTTCACTGCACTTGGGATATAGCCAGCTCCCCTCCCTGCACCTTGTGGCCCCGTCTCTCTCCACTCGTCCATGGCCCTGCTGAGCTTCCGACTCAGGGCCTTCTCAGCTGCTCCTCTCTGCTTTGGGCACTGGTGCGCCCCTTCATCACCTGCTTTCCCTCCCTCACCTGTCAGGGCACCCCTTGAAGTCACCTCTCCAGGAAGTTTCTCGAAGCCCCTGTGCACACCTGCCCACAGCAGCCCTCATTTTTCCTCAGAGTGAACCACAGTGACCTGCTGTGATCACCTGCCAGTTTAGTCTTTAAGCCCCACAGGGCAAGAACTGCTTCTCTTCTCTTCATGGTTCAGTTCTATCAGTGTAGTGCCTGACACATAGGAAGGCCTGAAGAAATACCGGTGAATGGATGAAATAATGGCTTAATGAGTGTTTCACGCTGATGAGAACATAGTGATGAATATAAATGTGTGTGGAAGGTGCACTAAGCCCTATATATTCTCCTTCTGGTGGTGAAAGGGACACACAATTTCAAGGAACATTATTTGAGCAAGGTACCTTTAATTATCAGTCAATATGAGTAAGTTTTAAGGCTTTCATAAATGGTCTAAGTTTTGCTAATAGTAGAAATCTGAGTCCTTAATGGAGACCAGAAGGGTTTTGCAGAAGCAAACCAATCCTTGCCTTGGTGAGGTGCATGTCTGACTGCAGACACTTTGGCAGCAGCCTGTAGAGCCCAGAGAGCATCCCTCCACTGTCCTATTCCACCAACACACACACACCCACAGACAAACACATCAGCTTGGAACCAGCAGACTGGAAGGAAGAAGGAACCCTTGCTGATCAGTATGGTGGGCAAAGGAGGGTGGCTGGGGTGGTATCTGGCACAGGGAAGAAATCCTGTTCCCTGTCATCCCTGTCGCCAAATATGCCATTTGGTGATATCACCAGCAATCATGTCGGGACACTGCCGAGAGAGGGTCCCTCACTGATGACAACCCTGCACATCCTCCCCGGACCACCCCTGACAGGACAGATAAGGGAGATGGCGACAAGGTAAATGAGTCTGTAAAAGAAACAGTGTTCTATCAATATACTCTCAGAAGTACACCTGGCTCATTGACCACATGGCTGGTGCCAGAGGGTCAGCATATTCTCTACCCTGTAGGCAAGCTGGGTGTGAAGCCCACTCTCCGGAACTGGAGTGCTAGAATCACAGCAAAGTGAGGGCGTGAACCTGTGAAGATTTGGCAAATACTTCAGACATACCTCTCAGGCCATGTAAGCCCACCAGACAATGGCCTGACATGGCAATTTACGTGTCCATGTCCAGTGGAGCAAAGCACCTCTCCAGCCTGTGCTGGGAGGAGCTGGGCCTGCCTTTGCCTCCTGGGTGCGCCTGACTGTGGGCGCCCACAGCCCACAGTCCCCCTTCTGCCTGCTCTTGTCTTATATTCACGGAGTCATCAGCTGTCTCTCAGTCTTGCTGCCCTAGAGGTCATCTGTGCCCTTGTGTGAGCTTGCTGGTCTCTGCTCCATCTCTTAGCATTCGATTCATAATCCCACTCGCAGAGAATGAGCAAGCACCTCTCCTTCCAAGTTCTTGGATGATAGCTGTCTGCATGCTGCCCAGGCACTGTCAGGTTCTGGCAGAGAAGTGAGTCCCCCTCGTGCAGCACTGGTGGCCCTGATGTAGTCACTGACCCAGCAGGTAGGTATAGCCCAGCAGGAGGAAGGCCCTTCATGCTGCCCTTTCTGCAGAGGGAAGCTAGTGCTGGCAGGCCCTACTCCCATCCAGACATCACCATCTCTGCAGTAGTGTAACACTGCAGTTAAAAAGGAAATGACTCCTGAAGCAGAACTGTCTGGGCTACTGGCTTCATTTAAATTTATTTCTCATTACTTTCAGACTAAGTCCTCTCTCCCATGTATTTGCAAAATCTGGACATAGCACTTCCAGCATTAGCATAACTACTGAGTCATAATTCTACAAGTCACCATTCAGTGTCACAAGTGACAAAAACCCAACCACAACAGGCTTATATGTGAAGGAGGGATTTTGTTGGCTCACAAAACTGAACAGTCGAGAGGTAGCTCCCACCTTTAGGCCAGCTGCATCCAGAGCCTCAGGTGATGTCACCAGGTATCTGCTTTCTTCACGTCTGAGCTCTGCTCCCTCTACCGCAGCTCAGCCTCAGGAAGGCCTAAAAAAATTATTGCTTGTTGATCAAAAATTCAAATGTAACTAAGCATCCTGTATTTTACCTGGCAATGTTCAGTCGAACACAAGTCCTAGGATTGAATCTGCACGATTCAGATCACATACCGTCCCAGACCCAACTGCCTGGTCAGGAGGATGGGGTATACCAGGAACACCTGCCTCTCTGCAAAGCAGGGAGCATGGTCAGCCCTCCTCCTATACATGCCCTGATAGGGGGAGACAGGTGCCTTCCCCAGTAATAGGGCCCTTGATCCTAGAAGAAGGGGAATGAACACTGCACAGGCAAAAACAACAGATGTGCAGAGTTGCGAAGGTCCCAGACAATAGGGGTGTTTGTACGGCACACAGCAGTTTACAAAGCATTTGCACACTACTCTTTCCTTGCCACTCACACCTCTATTTGGCTGGCAGAGGCAGTGTGACAGTCACTCTCTGTATTTCTTTGCTCAGGCTGCCATAACAGACTGGGGGCTTCAACAGCAGACATCGTGTTCTGACTATGATTCTTGTGCTTGCAAGTCTAACAGCGAAGTGTCAGCAGGGCCTCTCCCGGCCTGCAGACGACTGTCATCTCGCTGTGTCCTCACATGACCTTTCCACTGTACGTGTCTGTGTCCTCGTTTCTTCTTGTAAGGACTCACCACACTGGCTTAGGGCCCATCCTAACGACCTCATTTTAATTTCATTACCTCCTTAAAGACCCTGTCTCCAAATATAGTCACATTCTCATGTACTGGGGTTAGGACTCAACATATGAATTGCCAGGGGAATACATTTCAGCTTAAAAACACTCCGCCCAAACTTTTGTTGTTGTTGTTGTTTCAGATAAGAAATAGGACAGTAAGGGCAGTCATGACTTGTCCCCACTCCCAGGGCTCACTTAGTGATAGAACTAAGGAGCCTTGTCCAACTCCAAGCAGTGGCGGCCCTGCTGTGCCTGCCCAACTTCTGGCTGGTCTTCCTCCCCTTGTGTGGCCACTGCTGCCCCGTGCACTGCCCTGCCAGCCTGCAAGCTCCCTTCCTGGAGACCACAATGCAAATCCACCTTCTCAGTCCCTCTACCAAGCACTGGGCCAGGCACCCAGCAGGTGATGCTCTTGAAATAAACATCATTGACAGGAATGGAATCACGAAACCTCGGGGAAAAAATTCCCTGAAGAGTTTTAGGTGATTTAGCTAAAAGGAGAGACAGGAGCACGTGCTCATTTGATGTGGTGAAGACTCTTTCGAACAGCAAAAAATGATGAAGCCTATGGATGTGTAAATGAGCCTGGGGAAGAACTCATCAGAAGGGTAAATTGCAAAACAGAAAGAGACTTTAAAACAAGTGAGGGGAGAAGAGTGAATATTTCAGTGTCTTTAGTTCATAAGAAATTCATGAGCAATGTGTGTGGAAATTTTGTTGGCTTTGGTGGGGGGAAAGAATTGTAAACATGTATAATATGTAAATACCTTTATAATAAAAGGCCATGAAGATAAATGAGCAGGTCTGCAGAAAAGCTTGAGCTATATAAGATGCTAATACAACTGTTGTCACTCGAAGAAATTACCATAATGCTTACAGGGCTTTTAAAGTTCCTGAGCTTTGGAAGATGCATAAATAATAACCAGGAAATACACACACAGGCCTGTCTCTGTCCATTTTTCTTTTTCAAGTGAGGAAGGTGGCCTGGGTGAAAACAGGCATTGACCTTGGACCTATATGAATTCAAATACGACTTCCTTCCACCACGGAAAAGCTGTGCGATCTTAGGCAAGTCGTTCAGTCGCGCTGGGGCTCACTTTCTCCATCTGTGAAACGGGCATACCTACACCTACAGCTACAGCTGCGCCTCGCCACGTTTTGGGGAAGGACCGGGTGGAAGTACACAGCGAGGTTCACACAGCGCTTTTGTCGACGCGCTGCGCGCCGCCCAAGGGCCACAGGACTGCAGACCTAGGACCTTTCTCCCGCCCCGCCCCGCCCGCTTGCACCACTCCCGCCCCGCCCCCTACTGATCCCTACCCCGCCCTCCTCCCCACCCGAGCCCTCGGCCCCACTTCGCGCGGCCCGGCAGCCCCGCCGCCCCGCCCGAGCGGATGGCGCCTGCGGCCGAGCGCTGGGCACCCGCCCTGTGGAGGTCGTGCAACTGGCTCATGGCCGCCTTCTTTGCCCTGGCGGCCGTGGTGCAGGTCAGCAGTCGGGCAGCGGGGGGCGGGCGGGGGGCAGCGGACGCTGGGAGAGGGGCCTCCGGGCTCCGCCGGGCGCCGGGCTGCGAGCTCCGCCCCTGGGCCTGACGTGCAGTGTGGACCGGCAAGCCAGCAGGATTGCGGGAGCAGGCTACTAGGCGGAGGAGGGGAATTGGGGTTTAGTCTCAAGAGCCCCCATTTTCTCCCCCGCTAAAGACACTGATGTGTTCATCTGATTTCGCCGCACCTCTCTTTTGCCCAAATACTTACTGGAAAGAGCTGGTTCTGCGCCTGCTTCTTTTAAAGGGACCCGAGCAGAATCAGCCCTGGCACATTTCTAAAAATGTAGCCTGTGGTTGAATGAGACCGAACACAATTCAGGACCAGGGAGAAGCAGCAGGACGAAATCCTTTATAGCGAAACTATCCTTTCGGGTTGGCGTAATGGCTTTCCTCATGCCTGAAGACAGGAAGGCCCTTAAAATACCATTCTAGGTTTGGCTCACCCTTTTCAGAGTTCCTGTGCTGTTGTTCTTTATGAAAATACGTGGCTGTATATTCAAACCATCTGCCGTATTCAGCCAGAGGCCCCTTCAGCCATCATGATCTGCTAGACTCTGTCTTACTCCTATTTCGTATCCTAGTTCCCATTGCAGCGTCTGGCACTTAACAATTGACTGAAATGAATAAAAGAGCAGACCAAATACAGGAACGGAGCATGATAGTATGCCTGCTGACACCTTCATGTTTTGGCATTCCAGGTAAATGATCCAGATGCAGAACTGTGGGTGGTGAGTATGAGCTGCTTTCATCTGTTTATAAAAACTGTGGAACTGCACAAAACACAGTTTTTTATCTGTTCGCCCCGCCTCCCTGCTGTATGTACACAAAAACTTAAAAATCAAATCTTTTGTAAGCTCTTGTCTCTAAAATACCAGGGAGGAAGGGATCAGAGTGATAATGTAATGTGTGTGTGTATTAAGAATTTTCCAGAGACACAGGGGCCTTTCAGCAATATTCCCTTTGAATAAAATGGGCCAGCTGAGGATACTTAGAGAGTAGACCTCTCAGCTGAACCTCCTGAGTATCTACCCAGAAACTCCAACAAACATTTGACCAGAAAATGCCAGGTTTAAGGTTTGTGATTCAACTAATTTGGTGAGTTATATTTATAAAAAGCAATGGAAGCCCATAAAACCTACAGTATACCAGTGCTCTGATTGAACCATTTGGAAGAGGCGGAGATCACTGCACACGTTTTCTGCAATATCTGGATTTTGCCCAGTTTCTTTCAGTACGGATATACAAGACTGTGCAGTATCACCAATGAGATGACTTGAGGCACTGGAAAAATGTTGACATACAGATTAGCAACAAAAGAAAACATCTGGAATTATAATGCAAGGTTCTAGTCTTTTTTAAGTGCAATACAACCATATTGTGATACTGCTTATTGTCCAGATTTACGTGCTGCTGCGTTAAATCAGATGGCCTCTTCCTCAGCACTCTGGTCCAGATGCTGAGTTCCAAATATTATTTCTCTGCAGACAAGGCTCAGATAACCAGCTTAATGCTGACTTTCCAAAAGACTGCTAGGTCTACCCACCGTCATACTGGCTCCTCAAATATGCCCAAGGTCCTACCCAGCATCTTCCCTCTAAAACCCACTCCTCCTCCTGACCCACACATTTCTCGTATCAATAGAATCATTCTCTGGGTCATCCTTGATCAGAACCTCAGTCATCTCTAACATCGCCATGTTCCTTACCACGGTCCTTGAGATCCCTTCAAACAACAAAATAAAGAACAAAGCAATCCAACAGAACCCAGTCTAGATCTAAGGTCTAATGCTTCTCTGTACAGTAGAATCTGTACGTTTGACTGTTCACTTCATGCTTAGATGACCTAATACACAGAATAACCATGGCCCCATGGACATCCTCCCTGATCCCCCAGTTTAGCTCTCCATTACCTCGTGGAGCTTTGGCTTCCTAACTCTGAGCTGCTGCTAATCTCTTCTACTCCGAGAGCACTTCCCATATATTGCTTCCTGATTCAAAAACTTTTGTCAGTTCCCAAGATCTCTTAGTTGAAGCTCTCCCTGTTGGCATTCAAGGCCCACTGCACTACTGCCCCAACCCACCTTCCCAGCTTGGTCTCAGGAGCCCAGTACCCCTAGAATTCCTCTGTGTCATACTCTACTCAAGCTTCAAAGTCTATCTCGAATGCTCTCTCACCCAAAAACTCTCTCCGCCTCTTTCCCATAAGTTCCAACCACTCTTCCTTTGAACCATTATTGTAGCACTGACACGTCTGCTTTGCATTAGAGTTGGCTCTGCACATGCCAGCTCCCAGGGGATGTGCAGCTCCTGGGGAAGAGGGACAGCGCTTCCTTCTTGGTCACCCTCAGACAATCAAACAGTCTTCCTATGGCAGTCCTTCCTGTATTGCCTCTTGAGTGAATTAAGAACAAATGGATGCACTGATGAACCAATACTTCACTGCTGGGCCTTGCAGCTTGTACTATACCTGACTTGCCCCTATGATAACACTACTTCATCTTGTCATGAAAGATACTTGCATATAGCAGCAAAGAGTAGGATATCTGACTACAGATGGGTTATAAAAACACAGAGTATCTCACTTAATGAAAAGCTGCTTAATAGTCAACATCATCAAGGACCTGGTCATTCTGATTTCTTCTCTGACATCCTCAGTGTGTGAGTTGATACATCCTCTCATGTTTACAGAATGGCTGCTGCAGCTCCAAGTATCATCCCCAGGCAAGAGCACCCCACATAAGAAGAAATAAGGCAGGAGCAAAATGAGTTTTCCTCCTGTGCTTTCCTCCCTTTTATCAAGGAGATGTTTCTCAAGAAACCCCTCAGATACGGTACTATTCAGTTTGTACAGACCAATGTGGTTTATGGTCTGGGATCCATTCTGCTTGGCCAGCACCCACACATGTTGGTTGTTAAATGCTCTGAGTACCAGCCTTGCCCCTACAGGCTTTCTCCTTACATTTCTTTGCTGGAGCATGATCACTGCTACCTGTTGACGAGGCTGGGAAAACAAATGGGCTTTTCCAGCTTTTACACTGACAGGTGGACAAGGGAGAAAGGTATTAGGAGTGAATGCCATGGTACTCAATAACTATGTATTAAACTGAATTTTTAAAATAAATGTGATACCCTTTTTTTTATATCTGCCAGTGAAAAGATGTAAGTGGGTTCTACTGAGTTCATTACTGAGTATTTGTACTGTGCAATGTTTTACCTTGTGTATAGACAATTATTTTCAGTCTCTCTACCCTCAAAAAATACTTGTTTTTATCTCATTTGAGATAGAGAAAGGCACTTAAATAAAGATTATATGGCACAATTGCCATGGGAAACCATTACTTAATTTATAGGGTTGTTTTGTTCATATGTTGACAATACACTGAAAGAAGGTTTTAGACCTTTAATCTATTAATGACACATATCAGATACATTTGAGTGCACATTTAAAAAATCCCTGCCAATCATTTCTTATAGGGAGCACAAGTATCGTATGATGTGTGTGGGGGGGGTTAACATCTCCCTCTCTTTCTCTCTGTCCCTGCCTCCCTCCACCCCGCCCCCATCCTCAGTGGCTAGGTCATGTAGCTTTACACCAGGAGGAAACTAGCCCCTTACTGCCCTAAGTTTGGTTCTTGGAACAATAGTAGCACCCTGCCCTGGGAGCTCGATAGAAAAGCAGAATCTTGGGCCCTACCCCAGACCTTCAGAATCAGACCTGCCTTTTAACAAGATCTCCAGTTGAATCTGTATGCACGTTAAAGTTTGGGAAGCACTGGTCTAACCCTCAGCAGGACGGCCATCGCCTGTGAGAGATGGCCAGACTTGCAGATGGCGACACTGGCCATTGTAGCGATGGAGTATTAAAGATGAACAGTCTGTAACCCAGATACTCTCTCTCCCCAGGGTCAAGACAGACATATTGCTGTAGTGAAAACAAACAACTTAAAATATACAGCCGTGACAACTTCCAGATAAACTAAAGGTTACTGACAGAAGCATCACAACTGATGTGGTTAAGAAGCCACGGATTTTCGAGAGCTCCCACGCTTTTGTAAACCTACCAAACATACCCTACTTGCCCTCTGCCCATAGTACACATGCAATAGCAGGTTGGCTAGTCGCCTGCTCTGAATGAGGCTTGAAAATAGGCTCTTCAGGGCCAGTCTTCCAAAGCCCCAAACAACTTATCACCAGCTTCCAGAATGAGGAGCCTCTCTTATCTGAACCATACAGCGGCACAAATGAGCCATACGTTGTTCGCCATCCTTCTGTGGTCTCATCTGCACAGAATGGAGTATTGGGCTGGACGGCCCATGGGCCAGACCCAGCAGAGCCACCTAGCTAATTATGGCTGCTCTGGCCCTCCTTTTCAAAGAGCATTTTCTTTTATGCAAGTGGGGAAAGGCCACGTGGGCATAGATGTTACTTGCGAGAGAGGTGAGTGTGTCCTAGATCCCCACATTCTGCTCAGTGCTGGAGCTGGAAGATGAATGAGCCTTTCCTGAAGTGGCCTACAGTCTAAGAGAAAGGCAGGTAAAATGACCACCTCACATGATAAGTGCCATAAAAGCAGAAGTTACCACTTCCTCAGTTGTTGCTGAAACCTAGAGGTAAATCGTGGAGCATAACAGCTACTGCTGTCATCTTTCTGTACTTCTAGATAACCTCTGAATGTCTCCTGAACTTGGCAGACTCCTTAACGCACCGCATCTCCTCTCTCCATGCTAACAGGTGGTGTATACCATACCTGCCGTGCTAACCCTGCTTGTTGGACTTAACCCTCTTGTCACAGGTATGAGCCTTGGATTCTGATTGGAGAAAAAGCAAATCAGATTTCTGTATAATGAAGGTCTATCTGCCCGATTCCCAGGAGGAAAGCAGGGCTCTCCACAGTTTCTCATTTCTAACAGTAAGGAGCTAACTGTAATCTACATCATCCTCACCCATCTTCAGGAAAACTTCACAAGGACTTGCCACACTATGACAGTCTTTAGCAGTTTGGAACCCAAGAACCTTACGCTGATGTGGAACAGTAGTTATGCACTTTAGCCCATGAGAGGGAAGGGCTTCAGTCATTGCGTTGACTTCTTAAGCCTCCAAGCTCATGGAAAATCAGCAACAAAGTGCTAACCTTATGTCGCCATACTCAATGGTGATGTCTTATATATTTACCCTTTACAGATTCTTCTCAATCCAATACCACTCCTATTAGTCATTTTCTTATTTTGAATTTAGGTTGGCATCTCATTCAACACCTATGCATATGAATTGCTGTGTATGTAGAGAAACTGTATAGTGTCTATAACAAATCTCTAGATTTTTCCATTATGTTGTTCTCCCTAATCTCCCTATGCACTGTCATAATACCAATAGCAATTTATTGCACACTTTATATGTTTCCTCCTCCTAGGCTGCAAGTCCCTTTAAAGTGGGATCATATCTAGCCCATCTTTGCAGAAGTCTTGCTTAAATATTGGCCAGGAACATGGTAGATACCTAATGCTTGTTGAGTGAGTGGCTGTAAAACAGAGGCTTTATCATATATGTATTTTGTAACCTCCTTGCACTCCTTACATATATATCCCAGGTGGGTATACATGTAGAAAAATTCACTTAAAATAGCTGGTTTGTATTGCCCACAGGCTACCTACTTTAATACCGGGCAAAACATAGCTGGTTTGCCTTTTAGGGCCTTAAAAGTTCTCAACAAACCTTATGTTGGACAATTTTATCCTACAAAACAGTGTCTTAAAGCAGAAAAATCAATACATTTTATATTGTTTATTAATATTTTCATATTAATGGGGACTGTTAGTCCTGACAGGTTATTTTTCACTTTCCTTAAAACAGCTTCTACTAGTGGGGTTTGGAAGTTCTCAGAGCCTTCAAATAAAGACTAATGATTCCCACCTGGGCATGAAAAACTCTGCCTCCTAGACACACTGGCTCTTTGAACAGGCCCCGAGAACTCTGTCTGCGTCCTTAAGGTGTTAGCAGTTAATGCTCTATTAGTCATTGGAGCAAGGAAAAACTCAACTCAAATGGGCGGTAAGCTAAAGAGGAGATATATTGGGATATTTTATTGAAAAGGCCAGGTGTGGCCTCGCAGAACTCAGACTTCTCCACACCCCACTTATACCATCTACCACACTGACTTCAGTCCTGGGCTCCTCATGGCAGCCCTACAGTTCAAAGTTCACATCTTCATGGCACCAAGTCCAACAAAATATAGAATCTGCTTCTATGAAAGTACCACAAAACTCTCAGAATTGAGTTGTTGGCCCGGATGCATCATCTGTCCATCTGAGCTAAGTCACTGTTGCTAAGGGGATGACAGGCATTGACTGACCCAGGTAAGGTCCACGTGTCTGGGACACAGGGCCTGGGAGTGTTGGGAGGGTGGGTCTCCAAAGAAAATAAGCACAGTCGTCTTAGAAAGGGGAGATGCTAGATGACCAAAACAATAAATGTCCACTTAAGTTTATAATTATTGCTTTAACCTCTATGATGTCCCTCAAAACAAAGCAAAACAAAAACAAAAAGACCGCCTTTTTCTGAATGTTTTACATGAAAGTAAACTAAGGCAAAGCAGATACAAAGAGTTCATTTTTCTCCGGGATGTGATTCCATAATTAACAGCACAGGGGTATCTATTTTTAGGTAACTTTATTTGGAGAAGTGTCTCTGCAATACACATATTCTTTTGCATCGTGTGGGCTGGTGGCTTGGTGTACTACCTCTTGCTTCATATACAACAGAACATCATACATGAGGAAGAAGGCAGGTGAGCAGTGACGTTTGCTCTTTGGCACATGGGGGGTAGACCTGAGCAATCTTCTGTTCCTTTATAACACTTTATCAGCACAATGATGGTTTAAACCCAGCTACATAAAGAACAGAGAAAGTATGACCTCCTTTATAAGCTGACGAAACTGAGGAAATGATGGGGCCAGGACAGAACCCCAGGACTGTCTACCCCACCCCACGATCACTACTACAGGCAGCCATTGCATAACACATCATGTTACCATCAGGCAACGGGACCTTGGCTCCCTTACAACCAGCAAGGGCACGGTACAGTCATATACTCAGTGTAGTCTAAGAAGGTGAAAACTCCACCAGCATTCGGCTTCAGTTCTGGTTCAAGCCAAAATCTTATCTCCAAGTGTCATCAGCTACCTCCAGGGTATTTTAAGTCTACCACTCTCAGCCTTTCCCTGGTATGTCTCATATCAGCCCCTTCCTTTATCCCAGCTATGTGCCCCTGTTTTATTACCTCGTCCTTTGTTTCCTTCCACCCTTAACTTTACTCCTAGCCCCTTTTCTTGCCTTGCCTTTTTATCCTTCTGCTAACATACACTAACACCAAGACTTAAGAGACCTGTAAGTGAATCATCACTGGTGAGATACTGCTGTGTTTCTTCCCTAATCCTTGGAAAACAGGAGAGCCAGTAAGGTTGGGTCTGTTGATGGGAATGTAAACCAAATAAGTTGAGTCACTTCCACCAACTTGAAGCCCAAAGTCATGGTAAATTCAAAGTGGGGCTTCCAGTGGTACTCTGGCTGATTATGATTGTTTTCTGCTCTACATAAAGGATATGTGCTTTTAGGACATATTCCTAGCAGCATATACCCACCCCAAAATCATGAGTCTGACTCATACCAACAGTCATTCCCCTCCACTAAGACGTGACCCAATCCCCTGCAGTATGTGCTCAAATTCTTTATTGATTTGAGTTCCTCCCTAACCCTCTAAAACAATGTAGAAGTAATGGCTGTTCAATCTGGGATTTTCTTGGTTGTACTATTCCTCCCAGTGACATGATGTAAGTGAACAATTACCTGTTTTTGTTTTCTTGTGTTGTGTTAAAAGTTCATTTATAAGTTGGGGAACAGTGATAGAGCTCATATCTGCCTCATAAGATGATACATATTCTTATATAAGGCTTTAAACTACCTGAAAAAAATAGTTTATGAATTGTAGCTAGACTTGAAAATATTCTGTAGATGCTATCTTAGGAGAAAGTTATCCAACAAACAGAAGGAGCAAGTGGTCATGCATCTCACCTGGCAGCTACACATAAAAATATGAAATGTGTGCTCTTTTATAGGGAGCTGTTTGGTCTGGTGATAATCATGGCATGGATGAGCCTATGTCACAGTTCATCAAAGTAAGTTTCCAGCTCACTAAAATCAGGTGTCTTCAAGGTTGCTTAGATCAAGATAGGTAAATGAAGATATTGGGACATAAGGGAAAGCAGGAATCTTGGAAGAAGTATTTCCTTTTCCTAAGGAAAGCTAATAGTAGTTGATTCAAAGTTTTGTCATCATGCTTTAAAAAATACCAGTTTCCTCTGTGGCCCAGGGTAATCATAAGGAGTATCAGTTCAAAGGGTATTGTTCAGGGAGAAAGAAAATGACCTCAAAAGGAGGCTTGGAGATTTAGGAAAGAATGAAAAGCAAAGCAAATATAAAAGTATGGGTACATGTAAATGAATATTAACTTTTAAAACAATAGCAATGATATTTTGTGATGTTTAAACATATAAAAAATAAAAACATGGTAGCAGTAACATGTAAGTTGGAAAGAGCTAAATGGAATTAAGGTGTTCCAAGATCCTTGAATTGTCTGGGAAGAGGTGAAAGTACCAATTTATATTAGACTTTGGTAAGTCAAGAATTCATGTAATCCTCAGGGCAACTGCTGAAAGGGTAGAAAGTGAGTAGAGAAGGCAGGAAAAGAGGATTAAAGCCATAACAGATGAGGAAAATAGGCAAATGTTAAGATATTTAAACCCAAGTATATGAGAAATTACATTAAGTGTAAATGTTCTAAATATTCCAATTAAGAGTCAAAGATTTTCAAAATGGATAAAACAAGACAATGCTTAAAAGTACAAATACAGAAAAAGTTAAAGTCAAAAAATGGGAAAAATATATTGTACACATACCAACCAAATGAAAGCCAGTATAGCAATTTTAATTTTAAAAAGTAGGCCAGAGAGAAAAGAAAGATTTTTTTTTTTGAGGAAAGGGAGGACTTTTTGGTGATTATTTAACAAATTTTTGTTTTAATTTTTTATTTTGAAAAATTTCAAACATATACAAAAGCAGAGACTAATATGAATCAGATGTACCCATCATCCAGCTTTAATAATTATGAAATTATGTCTTATTTCATCTAGATCACTATCTTCTCCACACCTCTAGATTATTTTAAAATAAATCCCAGACATCATACATATTTCAGTACATATCCCTAGTGTGTCTATTTTGTCAAATCATTATGTTATATACCTGACACTAAGACAATATTATATATCAACTATACTTCAATAAAAATATATACTAAAAACAAAAAGCACTTAAAAAGTGATATTCTACCATCATCATACACAAAATATAAAATAATTTTTCAGTATTATTTTTCCAGTCAATGTTTACACTTCCCCAATTGTTTTATAAATGCTTATTCCTTTGCAAAGTCCTATATTCCTGTAAGTCAGTGGTCAGATCTAGAGCCCTGGTGAGAGTCTGTATTACAATGATGATGATGATGCAAGACTGCTTGGGTTGATGCTCAGACTTCCTTTATAAAACATGTTCTGCCTACTGTTTCTCTGTGATGTTAATAGTCTTTGATGATCATTGCCTAAATCCATTACTTCATTTGGGTTGTAAAACGGTAGTATCTAGTTATATTATTACTTGTTTATTAGCTGGAAAAATTCTATAGAGACAAACTTCCACTTATTAATTCTTTAACTACTCTGAGGTATAGAAAATGAGAGGAAAAGGAAAGAAAAATGTGTTTCAAAGAACATTTGATTCTTTCTGTTAATTTACCAGTTTCCAAAATAATGAGTTGTTTCTTGCCTGGGCATCTCCCAAAAGCTACCAATGAGCTGTATTTAATTGTTGTTTTAGTGGTTCCATTATAAAGTCATGGATTTTAACATTTTTGATATTTTTCAGTCCATGGTGGTTATTATCCTTATTTATGCTCAGAGTGTCCCATCTTTGACAAGTGGCACTTATTTAAGTTGGCTCCTGAACTCTTTTTGATATGAGTCAAGTAATCTTTGATAGTTTCTTTGCTTTCTGACATGACAAAATGTTCCAAGCTAGTGTTGTGCATTATGCCCAAGACCGGGAATCAGCTATTTTTTTTTAAAAAAGCCTGGTTACTTTTGGTAGGTGATGGTATTTAGAGGCCACAGTATGGGTACAAGCAGTGCTCACTGCTACTAGTTGGTCAGTGGTTCTCTTTAGGAAATTCATACACACATGCATATGTATATGCAAATATATGTGTTGTGTCTTATCAACATATGCACATGTGGTTATCTAGGTATCTCAACCCCATTTAATAAAAAGTAGATTTAAGATGTCAAAGAAAGATTCTTCTTAATAAAGAAAGGTCCAATTCATCAAGAAGACATAACAATTTTATATTTATGTATAACTATACCATAGCTTCAAAATAGATAAAACAAAAATTGACAGGAACTAAAAAGAAAAACTGAAAAATCCACAATCATTTTGGGAGACTTTAAAACACTTCTCTCAGTCACTAATAGAACAAGACACAAAAAAATCAATAAAGATATAGAAGACTTGAAGTATACAATAAACTTGACCTAACCAGAACCAATAATGACAGAATTCACATTCTTTTCAAGAACATATTGAATATTTACAAACTGACTATATGCTGGGCCATGAAACAGTCCCAACAAATTTCAAAGAACTGAAACCCTACAGTCTATGTTCTTTGACCACAGTGCAATTAAACTAGAAATCATTAACAAAAAAGACTGTCAATCACTCTATGTTTGGAAATTAGGAAGTAACATTTCGACTAAAGAAGGAATCACAATGGAAATTAGAAAATATTCTGAACTGAATTTGTGGGATGCAGCTAAAAATCATACTCAGAAGGAAATTTATATCCTTAAATACATGTATTTTAAAAACAAGATGGAAAAATCAATGACCTAAATTTCTAAGCAGTTCTAAAAAGAACAGCAAATTAAACCCCCCAAAAACAAGAAAATAATCATAAAGGCAGAAACCAACAAAATGAAAAAACCTAAAAAATAGAGGACTAGGCCAAATATTGGTCTCTAAAATGATTCATAACACTGATAAGCCTTACAAAACTAAAAAGAGAAAATAAGAGCAAGAATGATGAGGCACAAACAAGGAATATCTGGAATGAAGAAGAGAACATTACCACATATCTAATACATATTGCAAAAATTATAACAGGATATATTATGAACAACCTTATGGCAATAATTTTGAAAATGTAGATGAAATGCATAAAATTACTTGAAAAATCCAAACTACCAAAACTGACACGAAGAAATACTCAAATAGTCCCATAACTATTAAAGAAACTATCCCCATAAATTTGAATTTTTCCTAAAGAAAACTGTAGACCAAATGGCATAACTGGAGAATTTTAACATTTAAGGAAGAAATAATGCCGACCTTCAACAAACTCTTCCAGAGAACAGATAAAGAAGAAACACTTTACAGTTCATTTTATGAGGGCAGAATAATAGCGTTGATACCAAAATTGGACAAGAACATTTAAAAAAAAAGGGAAATTACAAAGCAATCTGATTCATGATTGCAGATGGAAAAATCCTAAGCAAAACATTAGGATTTTTTTCTATCACATTAACAGAATAAAAGAAGATAATTATCAATTTATACCAAAAGATAAATTCATCTTTTCATGATAAAAGCTTTTAGAAAATAGGTGTAAAAAAGGAATTTAACCTAATAAAAGGTGTCTACACCAAAAAGCATGCTACATAATGAACAATTGAAAACATTCCTTCTCAAATCAGGAATGAGATGAGGTTAGCCAAGATTGCCACTTCTACTCAACACTATTCTGGCTATTATCCTAGCCAGTAGGGTAAGGCTAGAAAAAGACATAAAAGGTCCAAGGATTAGACAGGAAAAATTAAATTTTCATTATTCATGGGTGCCATATAATTGGACATACAGAAGATCAAAAGGAATCTATAAAATTATTAGAATAAGTGAGTTTAGCCTGACTGCTGGATACTAGGGCAATATACTAAGATCAACTGTATTTTTGCCAACAACAGAAAATGATCAAAACAAAAAGTTACCATATGTAACATAAAAAAAATCAACTCCCTAGGAATAAAGCTAGCAGAGATATAACATCTCCTCACATAAAACTATAAAACATACAGAAGAAATTAAGACATAAGTAAAGGAAGGATAAAACTATATTGGTAAAAGGATAAACTAATGAAAGGGGAGAATTTAGAAACAGACCCATACATATGATAAAGATGGCAGTGCAGGGTAACGAGAGGCACGCTTTTTAATAAATAGTACTAGATCATTTGGAAAAAAGTGAAACAGCCCCTACCTTTCATAAAAATCAGTTCCAGGTGGATTATAAATTTAATATGAAGAGTAAAACAAAACTTTTAAAGAAAATAACAATATCTTCAAGACATTAGGGAGGGAAAGTTTTCTTACAAAGGACACAAAAATCATTAGGAAAAAATCAATTTTAGCATTGCTTAATCAATCAGTGACTTCAGTTTCTCAAAACATCATTGAGTGGGAAAAGCTATTTGCAACACATGAACAGTAAGAATTTGAATTAAGAAAAAAGAACTCCAACACATCAATCAGTGATCACTTCAATTAAAAATTTAGGTAAAGAAAATCAGACAAAAATGTAATGTGTTTTACCAAATTCAATCTTTATACTTGTTTCCAAAGCAACCTGTAATTTTTATTGGATTATTTTTAATAATTGTGGTGTGTCTTTATAGGAATCCAGTTGGTGGAAGAATTCAGTTGTCTATTGCCATTGTAATCTCTATTTTCCCATTTATCTCATGGATCTACATATATATCAGCAAGGAGATGAGGTCCTCCTGGCCAACTCACTGCAAGACAGTAATTTAAATGAAGTAAAACATCCTGTTATTAAAATGAGTATTTTCAATCAATTTTTTATAAACATGGTAAAAAGCCAGTTTCCTGGGAGTTCATTTCAGGTAATTTGAGCTAATATTAGACATTTTTTTTTTAAGAATTTTTTGAGGCTCCCTACAACATAGGATTGGATAAGACTAGTGAGTGATGGGGCCAGATGTTCTGTTGTTTCACAGTATAGTAGTAGAAAAAAGAGTAGAGCAAAAGTTAAGAAATATGAATTGTAGCTCAGCTCATCTCTATATATATGGCTTGGCAAAATATATACACCTCCTAGTGGGTATTTCTTTATAAAGTAGGATTACTATCAGATCTCTGACTTGTACAGTTACAAGGATAAGAGTACTCCAAAAACAGATAATGCTTACAAAGGGATGCACATGAGTAAACTTAAGGGAAGCAGGGTTTGGATAATATGATTGAAAGAGGTTCCAGAGAGCGCTGTATCCCTGAACTAATCTCATACTGAACTGGTACAGTGCCATGAACCAAAAGAGGACTCCAGATGAACCAAATGAACAAGCATGTCTTGGAAAGAAAAGAAAGTTCAAAAGAATATAAGAATTTGGGACCAAAAATAGGGGATATTACTTAACTTTGTAAATGAAAAATAAGATGAGAATCCATATTTTTTTTGAATGGATGTCAAAAGTAACCCTGGAGAGGGGACCCTTTTAGAGCTGTACTCTCCAGTGTGGTAGCCACTAGCCAAATGTTGCATTGAATGCTTGAAATATGGCTGAGGACATAAGTTTAAATATTTTCATTTCAATTTAAAAACATATCAATTGAGTTATTAGAAACTTGTGTTTGAAACACTTGCTCTATTTGGAACAACTTGGGTATATGAATTTATTCTTCACACTGCACATTTTGTATCTAAATACAGATCAAATCCATTGAAAATTTAGTGTCCAAAATGGTGCTAGAAATATAAAATGCATACTAGATTTTAGAAACATAACATAAAAAGAATATATTTTTATATTACATACTGAAATATTTTAGATAGATTGGGGTAAATAAAATGTTATGGAAACTAATTTTATCTGTTTCTATTTTTTTAAATATGACTGCTAGACTATTTTAAATGACTTATATGGCTCATATGTTTCTGTTAGTCATTGATGTTAGCGTATCCAGATGTCAGCTTTCGTACATATCCTAGTATTAAACTCTGTAGTCTAGATAGTCTCATGAGATTTATGAAATAGTTTACTCAAAAAATATTAGTACCAACTGTATGTCAGGAGAGTGAAAATGAACCTCGTGATTTGTCTCTTTATTTTTATAGTCTTTATTACAATATTAAGTACTCTATAAACACTTACCAAGGAAGTATGCTTGTTTATGTTACACAATGGATGTTGGACAGTCAGAAATTCTCTATCAGATTTGGATGAGGGGAAAGGAAAAAAATCTAGCTGATATTAAAGTAACTAATGTGAAATTTATTTTAAGGACCAATAAAATACATAAAAAGAATTTGTCTTCAGTGTACATTTAGCTTGCATATTTATGGCTTTCACGTTAACTACTGAAGTTAAAACGAAGTAATGGACTTGCAAATTCTACATAGGATCTACTCCATCCTCCAAGTAATACTTGATTCTGTGCTTAAAAGACAGTAATGTTCCAATTTAAAAAAAAAGTAATATTGAAGATACTTTCATCATATCTGCATCTCCCACATCATACTATGAATTCTATAGATATACGTAATTCCTTTTATATTTCCAAAAACATAAACCTGTGATAGAATACTGCCTTTTGAAGAATGTTTATTTACTGAAGTTGTTTTTAAACTCTACTTTTCAGTTGAGTTTAAGTATTATTGGTAAGTTTAATATTTCTGTGACCAAAATGTGTCTTCCCACCTCCACAATCTTTTTTTCCCATTGTTACACTTTTACTTTAGCCTCTCTTATTCCTACCTGGACTGAAATGCACATCTAATCATATGTTCCCCCAGCTCAGAAACCTGAGGATTCCTCACTGTCTGACAAGTAGAATTTGAACTCTGGGCTCATCATGCAAGGCTCTTCACAACACAGCCCTTAGTCTATCCTTCTTTTGCTTTATTTCTTGCCATATCCCCAAGACCTTTTGGTGAATCCTCATATCATTACTAGCCCTCCTAAATTCAGCATATCCTTTAATGCCTCTGCTTATGCTATTCTACTTGAAATGCACTTCCATGTCTGTCTAAACTATTTTTTTCCTACTCCAAGTCACCCCTAATCCCTTCAAACAAAAATTAAAAATCCTCCTCCACATTCCCAGCCCTTTCTTCACACATTTTTATCTGTTGATGTCTGTCTCTCTCATGGTAGAATCAGTGAATTCATGGAGCACATTATAGTCACCTGTGTGGTAAGCTGAATAATGGACCTTAAAGATCTCTGGGTCCTAATCCCCAGAACCTGTGGGTGTTACCTTGTATCACAAAATAGACTTTGCAGAGGTGATTAAATGACAGATTTTGGAATGAAGAGATTATCTTGGATTATCTGTATCAATCCAATGTAATCACAACTGTCCCTCTAAGTGGGAGGCAGAGGGAGATTTGGAGATGCTATGCTACTGGCTTTGAAGATGGATGAAGAAGCCAGGAGGCATGGAATGTAGGAAATACAGCTCTAGAAGCTGGAAAGGGCAAGGGAACTTCTCCCATAGAGCCCCCTGAGGAAGCATGGCCCTGGACACCTTCATCTAAGGCCAGTGAAAATGATTTCAAACTTCTGACCTCCAGAACTGTAAGAGAACATGTATGTGTTCCTTTATGCCACCCAGTTTCTGGTAATTTGTGAGTGCAGCCCTGGAAAACTGATACACATGTACACCCTCACAGTGCCTCAGCACAGGCACACTTATGCTGACTAGTATTGGTTTTTATTTATTGTTTTTGAGGTCCTGAATCAAACTTTCCCTACACTTAAACAGTCCCCATTTGCCAACTAGTAAATGTTTCTGCAAATAAGCTTTAACATATGTGACAACTGAGTTAAACATGTCCCATATTGTCCATAAAGGGAATCAAGAGTAAACTCATGTACTAACTAGTCTCATACAGCACCAGTGGGTGGCCCAAACGGACTACGCTTGCACGTACACAGCTGACTGACCGCTGGTCCTGCTTTGGCAAGAATCACAAGAGAACCACGTGACTTCTCTGGAGGCCCTTCCTGTGCCTCACATGGGAGACCACACATTCACCTGTGTGAATGGCAGGGCCATTCATTCACCTGTGAAACAACTCTTGGTATTTTTTTATTACAAAATGGGAATACAAGCCTATGAAAGTACAAATATGATAGGCATTCTGAACAAAAAAATCCAAAGCTCATTCACACAGCAAGGTAAACAAAAGTTTACCTGAGCTTATTTTCTTTTTTATTAAGAATTTTAAGTTACACAGTTAATACATAAATATACTTTACCTATAGAAAGTAAAAATTCAGATAAGGCTAAATAAAGTCTTTTTTGAGGCCTGTATCACCCGCCACCCCCCATTTCAGTCTCCTCCCTGGTTTATTCATGCCACTTTCATTCATTTTCTTTCCAATTTTCAGCACTGGATGTATTATCCAAAAATGCCATTTCAGAGTATCTTATGAACTAACACAAAAGAAGCCATAAATACATTTTGTTATGCAAACAATACTAAACAGTAAGACCAAAGATTTTCAGCAGGGAGGGGAACAAAAACCCAAAGCTAAGTCAACTTCTTTCTATAAAGGTAAACAAACTAAATCAGTCTAAAAACACAAAGCTTTTTCCTTTTTATAATTCATAATTCTGTTTGGAACTCTGCCTCTCCCTTTCAACAGCATTTTGTCAGGATAGACATAAACTGTGCCAAAAGCCTGGCTGTCCGGAGCTGTTTCAATAACCCCCTCTACGTTGATGTGGTGCACCCCGCAAGGATCCTCAGAGTAGCCACCATCATGAGTGTGCCCAGCGAAGAAACCCACCACACACTTGTGAGACCAAACAACTGCCAGGGCGTCTCTGTAATTCCAGGCCAGGCACACATTGTCAGAGGCCTCTGGGTAAATGGGAACATGGCCTGTGAGTTAAAGAGAAGAAGAGTTATGAGCCAACTGGGAATTAACTCACTCATCAAAATAAATAGCTAAAAACCAGTACTCAAAAAAAAAAAAAGTTTATTGCCACCTCATAAAGGAGGGTGAGATAGTTCACACACAAGGGAGAGAGGCCACTATACAGGCAGACCCCTGAAGTTCCTACGGCCTGAGAGTCCCTGACGCACAGACAGCAAGGAAAACAGGGTGTGTTGCATGGGGCTGTCCACCAGGCAGACGTGGTACTGGAAGCCAGTCTCACTGGTTCCCTTAAATACACACATTACATACACATAAAGAGGTACTCCTAAATAAAACAACAGTTTAGGGATATGCCAATGGATTGCATGTCATTTATATAAACACTCAATGCCTTAGAAATGATTCATGCCACTTTAAACACCTCCAGGAGGTCAAGGAAATCATAACCATTTTACAGATGAGAAAACTGAGTTAAAGCAGAGAATACTTATTCTAGTCCCACAGGACATATGTGCAAGTAGATGGAGCCCAGAGCATTTTTAATTCCTGATGCCAAGATACCTGTGGGGCCACATTACTTATCAGGCCAGTTTCACTCTCAAGTACAACAGCTCACTAGTCTTTGTTTCTTCCCATCAAATCACTTCCCTTTTTCTCTCTGTTACTGTTTCTATTTTTATTCTGAAATTTATTCTGAGTATTGTTATTCCACTTAATAGCTATTAGTTTGTAATCAAAGTAAAAGGAGGGGATTAAGAGACCCCTAAAGCAGGAAGAGTAAGAATACTCCCGTGCACAAGTGCACACACACAGCCACTCTTTAAGGCATGATAAGGGTTAAGAGTCTAAAGGTACCATGTGACCCTTCAGACCTAGATGCCAACCTGGACTCATCTATAACTTGACACAGTTAGTCATTCCCATCTCCTCGCAATTCTTGGCTGCCAGGTCACCACTAGTCATCCCAGTTTTCCCCCAACCCCAGTCAATGGCTACTGATTCTCATTCGCTTTTGCCAATTCCTCATTTTCCCACTGTCATCTTAGAAAGGCCTTAATGGTTGGTCTTTGAGCTTTGCTTCTCTACTTATACTTCACAGCTTAGTGATTACTCAGGAATTTACAGTTTTAAATGTTATCTGTATTCTTTCAACTTCCACATTTACATATCCAGCACAAGCTTCTATTCTGAATTTCAGACTCATATCAAAATTGCTTACTCGACATCTCCACTGATGTCTAACAGGCATCAGATATCCAGCAGGCACCTGAAACTTAATATTTTCAAACCTGAACCTCTGAACTCTCCACCCCAAACCCCCTCTAGCAGCAGTATTCCACATCTCAGCTAATAGAGATTCTATCCTTCCAATTGCATGGCCAAAAGTTAAGTAGACAGAATGACCTCTGAGTAGCCAAAACAAAAAGTGAAAAAGCAAACAATAACAAAAGAAAACTTCTATTAGCCATTTTACACCTTACTAAGGAAAACCTGAAGCATTCAGCTGTTAAAGGTTTGTTTGTTCAGTTTCTAAGCATACAGCAAAATCGAAGAAATTTAACAGACTAATGTAGATAGGTGCACTGACATAAGTAAAAAGAAATGGGAAAAATATGGGATAGAGTGGGAAAGGAGACGAGGATATAAAACATGGACTCTAATAAGAACAAAGGAAAACTGAAGGAACAAAACAGCAGCAGAATCACAGAACTCAAGAATGGACTAATAGTTACCAAAGGAAAAGGGACTGGGGAGGATGGGAGGGAAAGGAGGGATAAGGGTGGGGAAAAAGAAAGAGGGCATTACAATTAGCATGTATACTGCGTGGGGGGTACAGGGAGGGCTGTGCAACACAGAGAAGACAAGTAGTGATTTTACAGCATCTTACTACACAGATGGACAATGACTGTGAAGGGGTATGTTGGGGGGACTTGGTGAAGAGGAAACCTAGTAAACATAATGTTCTTCATGTAACTGTAGATTAATGATACCAAAAGAAAAAAAAAACATGGACTCTACTCTCAGTTCTTTCTGTAGCTATATGATTTCAGCTATGCAGTTTAATCTCTTTCGCTTTCCTTATCTTCAAGAGTTTTGAATAAATGCCATTCTATGTCTCTTTTAGCTCCAGTGTTCTTTAACATGCATAGCCTGACAGTGGAAAAGTAAAAAGCAGAGACAAGTCAAGAAGTGCCCAAGTTTCTGAGACAACTTACTATAAAGCCAAGTAGTGTCACATTGTGCCAATAACCCAAGGGCTCCTTCTATTTCCCAAGCCTTAAATAACATTTGACATTCCAGTGGTAGCAGAAACACTCCTACTCTATCTGCATGTTTTTACTGTGTCACTAAAAGATTAATAAGTAGATACTACATTTACAGAAGTATATTTTATATTATCAACTATCAGAATAGCCTGTCATTTTCAAAGGTTTTCATGTTCATAATTTCATCTGATGCAATACTGAGAAACTGCAGTTTGTAGGTTCAGTATGTGCCCAGAGTCACACAGCTCACAGAAACAAATACATGTAGAATGGCAGCCCATCCTTGTGAACCTGAGTCCCATCTTCTCATCCGTTATGTATCCACTCTAAAACAAGGGATCTAACCTCAGTCCCTAACCAAGTGTACCAGCTATACTGCAAATCCAAATTCAGGCTTCCCAAGTATGCACACGGGCACAAGCACATACCTACATATGAGTATATTCTAAGCACCTCCAGATCCCTTTAACTTCTGATGGTAGTATGTGTGGAAAGAATGATTCTAAATGAAAGTGACATAAATCTTACCTCCTTGCAGTCACATGATAGAGGTAGTTACAGAACAAGTACTTACTGGCAGATGAGCGATGCTCATCCCAGTGTATCAGCTTTGCTTTCACGCAGGCAGCAGAGGCCTCTGTGCGGTGGCCAGTGCAGACAGGAAGGGCCCCCGAGGCTGAGATTTGTACCTCAGATTTTGGTACCAGATTTGGACCTAGACTGAATTTCTCACTTAAATATAACTACATAAATTGGGCCCATTTGGTGAAATTATACTTTGAAACTTAAAAGGCCAACTCATGGGCTATAACATATGGCAAGATGTTTTGTTATTTTACAATTCTCTTTTTCAATCTTAAATGTTAGTATTCTATTGTTTCTTAGTAAAAAATTTTAAACTAAACACTCATTTTATAGAAGATGATATCCCAATATAGTTAGTATGCTTTAAAACCTAACTTTTCCCATTCTCTCCAATGCTAGTAATAATTTCAGTACTTACTGACAATCACCACCTTTTCTTGGTTTGTGTCAGAGAATGTAAGAACTTCATTCAACCAGTTCAGCTGTTCTTGGCTGAATCCTCCATTAAACTGGACAAACTGGGGCTCAGAAAGTCCTGAAATGAATTCATTAAGTTAGACCCATCAAATGTAATTTTTTCCCTCCTTTTGGTATTTTAACTTAGCTAATGTGGGGGCACTTACCCTTTCTGTAGGAATACGTGGCAGCAACTGACTTAAAGTTCTTAAAAAAACTACAAACGTCTACAGCAATGTATAAATAAGTCATACTAACTCCTAATGTTGAAATCCTGCTTATTTCACTAGCTTCCCATTGCACCGAAAATAAAATAGATGCCTTAGTTTACCCACTTAGCCACTGCAAAATCATCTTGCACCCACCTCACTGGACCTTTTCTGCATTCTTCAGTATTGCCAAAGTCTTATTCTGCTTAGCACCTTTGCATTTATTTTCCTGTCTTGAATACTTTGCTCCACCCCATTCTTCCAAGGATAACTCCTTCCTGTCATTTAGATTTTAGCAGAAATGTTTTTTGCCTCAGAAAGGCTACCTCTGACCACCTAAACTAAAATAGTACCCATCTTTTTCTATATTATACTTTATTTTCTTGGTAGCATTTATCACTGTGGAAATAATCTTGTTTCTGTTTCATTTATTATCTGTCCTGCCCACCCACTTCTCTTACTTCTCCACTCCATCCATAAAACACTGATATTGTTAGGACTGCTTAAAGCTTTGAATAGCTAACCGTAGGAAAAGTGCCCATCCCAGAACATTCATTCAGATATCTGTTAAATAAAGAGTCTTGAAACAACTGCAACCAATCCATGTACCATGAGGCTTGTGAGGAATCCTGCCCCTGAACAACAGTGACAATATACTTTTACCTTAATTGTTCATCCTCCTGCTGAATAAAAGGTAGCTGAAGAATTTAAACACAATGTATTAGATTCTCAGCAAGGAATAATTCACCTTGAGGACTATTCAATTCCATATTTGGATTGTGCTCCCTCAGTATCTTCAGACACTGCTGGTATTTTGGAGAAGACTGATCCATGCCTAAGACACTCAAGTCATAAGCATCTAATAAAATGAACCGGAATTTAGGGAATGGTACAAAATGATAAGCATAATAATTCTCTGAAGGTACAGTCTCAGGATGATGTACAATCTGGTCTTCTAGAAACTTTGTGTTCAGCTTAGAGTTTGTTAAGTAGTTTCTGCTGAAGTTATAGAATTCATGATTGCCCCATGTATGATGAACTGGGACTTTAAGCATCTGGAAAGTGTTCACAACCAGTTCTAGTGACTTTTCTGATGTTTTATACTGTGCATTATACCCATCGATGATATCTCCAAGCTGCAGTACACAACAGGGTGGGATGCTCTCTTTATTCCAGTGCTCAATAGCACCCTGTAAGTGAAGAAGACTATGTCTGTAGTATCTCCGCCTGTTGCCTTGGAAATTATAGCCATCTTCTAAGTCAGCATATTGAATATCTGCTATGACTCCAAAGGAGAAGAGAAGTTCTGAACTCTCACTTAGGGTTCCAGGACTGGGCTTATCATCCATAACCTCCAAATAGGTTTCTAAACAAAGTAAAAAGATAACTATAGTTATAAATTGTGTCTTAATTTTCTAAACGGACTGAAGAAAATGTTAAAATGAGTATTAAATTTAATAGATAATCCACCAGGTGGCCTGGCATATAGAAAAGCACATGGCTTTAGACTCTGAGGGTCTTAGGTCCAAATTACCAAGTCTTCAAAACACCAGTTTTCTCATCTATAAAATACATAATAACCTCTAGTCTTCAGAAAAGTAACAGTTTTTAAGAAGGTATTATCCTATAAATGAACAGCCATTCTAATTCTAGTAAAGTCAAATCCAATTCCAGTATAATTTGTACTTTTAAAGAAATATACACTAGTTTTATATACACACACAGAGGTACCTTCTCCCACAAACACCAAATATTCTATCAAAACTTAAGCATTTTTTTTTTAAAGAAAACTGTATATTACACTTACTAACCGTACTTTATACATTAGATTCCCGCCATAAGTTCTTTGGCGTCAGGCTGGATCTTTTCTGTTTGTTGGTGGGTGGGTCACCTGAACTAAGTTTCTCGTGTTTTGTATCTAGAATACAGGAAGAGGCAATTAAGATATGAGAGGAAACATATTTAACAAAGGAACAAAGTTTTTTAAACAACAAAATCTGACACAAAAACTAATGATGACACTGATGTGACTATTTTCATATCAGTGAGTAGTGGTTCCTGGTTCCTGGTTAGAGTCTAATTTTAACCGGTTTTTTAAACCCGAGTATTAATTGCCCTGTCCCCACAACCAACACAGAAAAGACGTAATCTTTTCTTTTTACACATAATCTCCATCCTGCCTCAGGAGCCAACATTTGGGATTTAGACTTGAAAACCTATAATTTTATTAGATGGTTTACAACCTAAATTCATAATCATAATCTCTTAAGAGTCAAGAACATTAAGGATTAAAATAAAAATCAAAAGCCAAGATCCTAAATTACCAACTATGCTTGTTATAAACGCTACAGTGATAAACTGTGCTGTGGTGTCTAAGTTTATTAAAGCCTAGTTGTTCTGAAAATTCATCTGGAATTTCTAAAATTACTTTCAGACTTCTGGTCTCCAGAAGTCCTAGATACCTTCTGAGTCCTTTTTAATCATCCACAGATAGTGAAATCCTAACTGTCACCCCCTGGCAGAGGTGGGCATGATGACTCCACAAATGGCAAGAAGGGCCAGAGTTCAATTTGACTCATTTGAGACTTAGGGGCCTCTTTTCATTGTAAAGCTGTTGTCACTATGATACACTTTCTATCTTTACACCCACATATGAGCTGCCGCTGCTTTCCTTTCTTCCTTCATCTGGCTAGGTATAATTAGCCCAAAAACTGATTAAAGATCACTAGAAAAAAAGATGGAAATCTTGAAAAATGGTGTGGTGTTCTTATATACTGTTTTCTGTTTGCTCATTTTTTCCTGCAGTCCCATCTGAAAACCTCACTAGGTATCAAAGTCAGTTCATATTTATAAGCAGTGGTACGGATGAGGTCATCTGTTTTGAAAGATGAAGAACCAGTACAATTACATTAAATACAAAACTCACCTAAGTCAACTGAAAATCTCTAGTCTTACTAGGTTTCAAATATTTGTGATTCCAAGCACAGACTAATAGGAGAATCAAACCAGAAGATAATTTATCAAGTGTATCACTGGAACATTAATTATTACCAAAGCTTAAGAGAAGCCTGTTTCTTAGAATGCTTTCATCCCCTGCCAATGAGCTTGTTTGTTTTTAATCTTTAAACTCAGAGCCCTTAGGGTTATCTCCTAGAGGGCATTTAGTCCCGGTTAATTTGATCTTCTCCACAGATAGCTATTACTTTAGCTGACCAGTATTCATTTCCCGTTCTTCTGGCAACAGGACCCCAATGTCTCCTTAGGCATCTACCCAAATCTTCATCTCATTTCATGTCATGTGACCTCTACCCCAGGCGAGAGAAAGGACAGACACATGACCCAGGCCTGGACTATGAAAGTACAATATCCTTCTGGTAAGTTAGAGTTCAGCATTTAACTCATGCTGAGTCAGTAAGCATCGGTTCTTGGACTTTGGCTGGAACTACTAGAACTAGTTCTGCTCGGCTGGTAATTGAGGCTGGGGTTTCTGGGGAGAAGTTAAGTTAGAAGAAACCCAAACTGTAAGGAAGCAAATCTCAGTGATGGAAAGAAGTCAAGTCCTAGAAACAGTTGAATACCTGGATCCTCCTGTCCCTGCTAAAACTACTCTTGGTCATTTAGTTTTATCAGCCAATAAACTGTCACTTTGAGTAAAGCCAAATTGAATTGGCTTTTAAGATTGGTCAGATGATACCAAAAGTGCTGTCAGATACACCTTCCACTGGAACACAGGTCAGTTTAGGGGTACAGTGAGATTTGTCAACTCTTTAAAGAAAGTTAAGCAGTAGGGAGAGGAGCAGCAAAGGCCACACATTTCAAAATAGCAGTGTGTTCTGAGGCAGAAAAGAGATCTATAATGTTTACTACATATAAGCTTTTCAAAATAAATTAAAAACAATAATCAATAATCAATTAA